TGAATTAGATGATATGGTAAGTGTTATTATAATCTGATTAGCTCCAATGTTAAAACATTCTTAGATTTATACTTGCATGCAACATTTTCGGTACAAATTTTGAGAGAGGACGGACAGTATGCTGAGTAATTAAATTTTTCTCTGAATAACTGTATATTTTAAGCTAACTGAAGACTGAAAATAAGGTTGTCATTACTGTCTGTTCTGTTTCTTTATTATATTTTTTTTAACAAAATTCATTAACAATATGAAGAAAACGATAGAAAACAAGAACGAGTCATCCAGCACCTAAATCTGTCACTGATTCAGCTTCACGAAAGGCAGTTTCTTAGCTTAAATTTCTTAAAAATTTTTTGATTCAAAATGTTTTTGAGTGACTCTATCGGTTTTTAAATTTAAAATGACTACCGGCAAACTTTCTGACATTATTTTGAATAAATGTGAACGGATCGCTCATATCATCAATTAAGGAGAATTTTTTTTTCTTTCATTTTATTTAACGTAATATTGAAAAGTAGTAATAATACTGCTGCTAATGTTTTCTATTCGTATGTTTATTGTTTGTGTAGGAACGAGATTTAGGCGACGAATATGGTTGGAAACAAGTTCATGGCGATGTGTTTCGTCCACCGTCATTTCCGTTAATATTTGCATCGCTCATCGGATCTGGCTATCAAATAGCCACCGTAGCTGTGTTATGTATTTCAATGACAATACTTGGTGAACTCTATACTGAGTATGTTTGATTTTTTTTATCCAGAACAATTTATTTTGAAGTTATTATTGTCTTTTAGACGAGCTTTATTGTTAAGTACAGCAATGTTTCTTTATGCTACAACGTCCGTCGTCAATGGTTATGTAGGTGGTAGTCTCTATGCACGAATGGGAGGTAAACAATAATTGACCATTAATAACTTCAAGAATTCAAGAAAATTCATTGATCTATTTTGTATATATTTAAGGAAAATTATGGATAAAACAACTAGTGACAGGAGCATTTTTGATTCCGATAATTATTTGTGGTGTAGCATTTCTGATTAATTTTATCTCAATTTATTATCGATCATCGCGATCGATTCCGTTTACTGTAATGGTGAGTAGAAAGACGCAGTTCTGCTAGTTTTATGTTACCATATGGAAAAAATAATCAATATTAACATTTTTTTCATTCTTTAGCTAAGTGTTACAGCTATATGCTTGTTCATTATATTACCATTGACAGCTGTTGGAACGGTGCTTGGACGAAATATTAGTGGTCATCCAAATCATCCATGCAGAATAAATGCCGTGCCACGACCAATACCAGAAAAGAAATGGTAATAAAATAGCTATCGCTTATCACTTCAGAAGGAGTGCGTTGTTAGGTCTATATATTGTTTTATATCTACTGAATCTAGTTAATAAACGAAATTTTATTTTAATTTAGGTTTATGGAACCAAATATCATCGTATGTGCAAGTGGAATATTGCCATTTGGTTCAATATTTATCGAAATGCAAGTGTTTCTATTTATATTACACATTTGCTGAAAAAATAAGTTGTGTTTTTATTTTATAGGTATTTTATTTTTACGTCATTTTGGGCTTATAAAATTTACTATGTGTATGGTTTTATGCTGTTAGTATTTCTTATATTGGCCGTTGTCACTGTATGTGTCACTATTGTCGCCACATATTTTATGTTAAATGCAGAAGATTATCGTTGGTAAGTTTGTTTGTGCTACCACTGAAGTTTTCAAGTATTCTTACTATCATTTTGTAATATT